CCTTTCAAGGGATGGTTGGGTGGGGGACACTGAACAACCGCTGTTTCTGGTTTTGTGAAATCGAACCAACAGCTTTTAACCTTTGGGTTTTGGAGCGGAGGTTCTGCGAAGTGTGGATGTCAATAAGCTGTGGACACCTGAGGCGGGATTGCTTTGCGCTTGGGGATGGTACTGTGACTGATATTGACACGTTTGGAGTGAACAGAGCTATAGGACACATGCAGCATGCATTGGGGTCAGCACCGTGCGACTTGGTTTGAAGCTTGAACAACTCACATCGATGATGGCGAACCTTTGCCGCGGAAGAATTCAGGCCCTCAGGCACAGGAGCATCAATGGAATGAAGATGACCCGCAAAAATGAACCGAATAAATTTAGGAACACATTTAATCAGATCGATGATGTCTCCTTCAGGTCCTTCAGGTCCTTCAACCCGAACATCCCAGATGGTCAGATTGTTGTCCTTCGTCGTCCTTCAGTCTCCTTGATTCCATTTGTTCCCTTCAGCTGCCTGGGGTGGCCGTTGTCCTCCCCAATGACCGGACCGGACCAGACCGCGTCGTCCCGTCGTCCTGTCGACCCGTTGGTTCGCAGGTTTGTCAGCAGGTGGCCGAAGAGGTGTTCGCGACCTTCGACCAGAACGGCGACGGCTCCTTGGACTTCCAGGAAGCGATTGGCCCGGCGTTCGGCTCTTCTTGTGTGTGTTTGCCGAACGAAGAGGGGTGGGGTGACGTTGGAAGGATTGGTGGTCGATCAATGTTGGCTGGTGCATGCTGGTGCCATGTCATTTGAAGTTGGCCAATCAAACTTGATCGCACTCTTTGTTAGAGCGACCTGTTGTGGACACACACACACACAACTCTCATACGATCAAACTATAAACTCATTCGCCTGCAACCTCGCTTGAAAGAGGAGTTTGTGAAGCTCATGAGGGAGTGTGCGGATGCCCGGATAGAAAAGCGGAAACTCCGTGCAACAGTCTCGACGGTCATCAGAGAAACAGAAAGACGGCAGAGGTAAATCGTGTCTTGCAGATTTTTGCATGAAGTGTTCAGTTCAATTTGCCTAATTTTTCTTTGTTCGCAAGCAGGGGACAGACAAAGCCTTTCTTCCTCAACTGTCCAGTCCAGGGTCACCTCAACACAGGGCAAAATAGTCCCGAATCGCACATCTTGGGCATCAAGGTGCTTCCAGACAGCAGGTGCTAGTTGGGAAGAGAGGGCCATGTCTCTTGCTGATGTTTTGGATGGCAGATCTCTGACCAAAAGTCCATCAAGCGGGGCACAAGCGTTTTGGACTGTCGTTGACGCTTTGCAAGCACCGTTTTCCTTGCTTTTTGTCCTTCAAAAGGACTTGCGAGCTGAGGAGCTGTGCGCAATGCGCGAGTCTTAAGCGCTCAAACTGCGCAGGCTGGTGACGAGGAATACGAACCCGAAGAACAAGTTCTCATCGTCTGTTCCTCAGGAATTGCAGAAAGAATGATGCTATTTACACCGGGGATCGTTCACTTTCCTTCCTTTTTTGGCCAGGATGATTTCATTTGGATTACGTTCCGAGACTTGGGGAGATTGCATGTTTGTCAACATTACTTCTTCAGTCTTCAGATTGTTCAACGAGTTTTCCAAGACTTGGGGCTGGGTAACCAGCTAGTATGAAGGTAAGCTGACCTGATTTGGTCCGCTAACACACAGGTCCGGATTTGGTCCCAGGGGGTCGGACGAGTCCCACGTCGGCCACCGGGGTCACCGTTAGGACGAGCTGGAGAGTGACCTGAAGATCGGCAAGGCGGACAAGGTGGAACGGTCGGTGTGTTTGTCACAGATCGGATTTGGGGCCGCAAACAGATGTTCTCGTGGGAATTCACGCCTCTCTTTTTTTGGCTGTTTTTGCCTCATTGTAGGTCCAACATTTGGCGCTGGCAGTGCTAGACTAGACAATGACGCTACTAGGAGCTCCTGGCCTTAGGAACAAGGACGCTACTAGGGGCTAGCAAGGACGCTACTAGGGGCTCAATTCTATTGCCATCACTTTGAGTTTTTAGTTCTGCCCTGCGAGGCTTATCACATCCTCACTAAGCTTGACGATGCGAAGCGCAGTCGCACGCCCACTCACTCCCAAGGTCCGTCCGTGCGCAGTTTTCCGGCCTCCAAGGGGCGGAGATGAGCTGGACTGGAGCACCCAGGGAAGGCTTTGGGATCGCCCATTTTGGGATGGGCCGACCATTCGTCAAACGTGTTGTCCAACACAGCCATATACTTGCTGTCCTTGGAGAGAGGAAGCTACATGACACCCGGCCGGCCTTGGCTCAAAGCTTCTATGCTTAATGGCAGCTCAGATGACAAGCTGCGAGTGGTAAGGCATGAGCTTGGCAAAAAAAGACCATGGCTGATTTCTGGGTGCAGTTTAGGGGTGGTCCATTCTGCAACCAACTTTACCTGGTGGATTCTCAAACGAACTAGACTTTTGTGCCGCTGCAACTGCAAAAAGTGTAGCTTCTTAACTTGCGCGCTGGGAAGGGGCGTATCACAGCAGCAGAGAAAGCATCTACAAGTTTCAACATCCTTTGACAGACCCATGCAAAATGATTGTGATTGTTTGTTACAGACCATTCGATAGATAGTCGATATGAAGAATGAAGCCTAAGCTTTAGAGGCCCAGAGATTTTGTGGAAATCGAGCGCCATCCGCCCTTCACTCCTTCTAGGTGTCTGGGTCTTGCCTGAAACTCTGATGAAAATGGGAGTGAAGATCTGTGAGAATTGTGAAGAATGATAGATCTGATAACTTCTCTGATCTGATAGGGTCTGCAGCGGGTCTTCGAAGATTAAAGTCTTTCAGAGTATTGGAAGCTGAAGGACTTGACTGCTTGAACTCTTGGAGTTTATGAAGAAGTCGATTTGGGTGGCCCCCAAAGAGGAAGGTTGTCTAGACAGAACGTTAGATGTTGACCAAAACTTGGTGCGTCAAACATAAACCATGGTAAAAAGTTCTTTCAAACAAAATAAGTGCGATCCTCATGGTGTGACGATTTTTTGGAGAAGAACTGCATCTTTTGAGATCGCCTGACACGCCCGGGAAGATCCACAGAACTGCTGCAGGTGAGCGTCGCCGCGAAGAAAACGCAGCGCGGAACCTGGCCATGTCGGATGATGAGGACTCCTCCTCCGATGAGGATGAGGAGAAGGCGCCCGGTGCGGCAGGATATCCGATGATGATGTCGTGCCTTGGATCATGAAACAGGGAGAGAGCTGCAGCTCGCTTCTAGGTTGGAGGCCATTGCTATTAGGTTGGAGGGAGTCACTAATAGCTCCCGCCCGTGCTTATCACGTTCATGTGACCTCGTTGCAGCAAACGAAGAACTTGTCGTTGTGTGGCACAAGCTTCTCATCCCAGGTATGGATACGCAGCTTGCCTTATTTCTGATCATGGCACGCGGCTCCGCTGTCGAAGCACATCCACAGGGAAATACAATGTAGATGGAATGTTGGGGGCTTCCTGGCTGGTCATCGCAGCTGAACTTTGCAGATCTTTGCAGACCGAGAAAGGCCCTCCAACTTTATGTGCTGCTGCAGACCTGTCAAACCAACATTCTGGGAGACTAAGGCATATCCTTCGGCGACTTGGATTTTTAGCGTTTGTGCTGATCTGTGCCCAGGGGGTGGATTTGTTATATTTGTTTGAACTGAAGTGCTGCATGAGGCCTACTCCTACGTGGCTTGGCTGCAACAGGATTTTCTCAGAAAGGAACTTGTGCAACCTGTTGGTGCATTTCATTTCTATCCGGCCGCCGCTGCTCCCATGCTGGCTGCCGCTGTACAAAAACCTAGGCTGCCTACGCACAGGCTTATCCCGGATATGTACCTGGACCGCAGCCCATGGTAAAGTGAAGACTTTGCCTTGTGGAGTAATCGGGCAAGCCACTTACCTCGAGACCATCCAATGATTTGCAGGCATTCGCTGGCTTTTTGAGGTCCCTCCTCAAATCCGTCAATCCTAGCTACGTGGCTCCTTTATATATATATATATAATTGAATCCGCATGTAGAAATCCTGAAGTCCCTTGTATGTAGAAAAGTAATTGGCCGTGGCCCCACGTTACAATGAGCTGCGGGGCGCAGGGCGCACTGTCAGGCCGCCAGGTACAACGCACAACAGTCGGTATGGCGCTTATCCGAATTCAAGTACCCGTGGCGCTTTGCCAAGGCAGCGTCATATCCTGGCTACGGAACTGGTGACTATTCTGCCTACATGCAGCAGATGTCAGCAGCAGGCTGGCGACGAATCTTTCAGCCAGCCAGATGTCCTTATTGGCGGCAACTTTGAACTCTTTGAAGCTTGACTTTCCACAAAATACATACGTACAGAAGCAACGGACAGCAATGGTGAGCATTGAATTCCAACCTCTTTGAAGCTTAAGCGAACCAGCCTTGGGGCAACTAGCTTTGGCTGCAAATGGCAAATATACGAAAGAACCTATGCAACCAGTCTTTGAGTCTGTGTCCGCTGCAGTACAGGTTACACGCCTGGCTTTGCTGGAGCTGGAGCGAGTGGCACACCTAGCACACCAGGCGTGATCTGAAGCCATCCACTCAACGCTCGAATTTCGGGACATTCGCATGAGGCGTATAATTATAGGGAATTGGTGCCACATAATTGTCATACATTCACACGCAGGGGGTTCCTTGCCCGATATCAGTTTCGCAAAGAAGCAGATTGGTTTGCCTGAAGGTTCATGCTTTGGTGTGGGTTTTCATCCTTGAAGTTCTGTCCTGAACGCTTGAGGCATTGCCACAGATCCAATGACATCGTACTACGGTGCCGCTGGGTATGGAGAGCTTTGGTTGCAAAACTAGTAGCAAAGACGAAGGGCATCGCTACTAGGAGCAAAGACGCTACTAGTAGCAAAGGGCATCGCTACTAGGAGCAAGGACGCTAGTAGTAGCTCCTGGCCTTACTACTATAATATAGTAACAAGAAGCTGCTAGTAGCAGGGTCACACGGGTTTGACCGGAGCCGTCCGGGGCCGTGAGCGTCGAAGTTGGCTGTCGATCGAGCGAGGCGAGCTCCTCGAATTATGGCACGGTGAGATGCTGAGAGGGACGTATCAAGGTTTTGACCGAAGGTTTTGTGGTCCATGTCTTTTTGGAGATCTTTGAGTCAGACCCTCATGTTTTTGCACTGAAGCACCTTTTGGCCGAGGTGAAGACCTTCTTGGCGGAGAAGGGCTTTGGCTTCATTGAGTCTGCCGTGCCCTCTGAAGGCCACGAACCGCTTCGCCGTTGAAGCTTTGTCCCGCACCGTTGAAGCTTGGTCCCGGTGGTTGGCCTCTGAAAGTGTTTGCTCCTAGTAGCGTTCTTGCTCCTAGTAGTACGGCCAGGAGCGCCTAGTAGCTTCTTGTTCCTGGTAGCGATGCCAGGAGCCCCTAGTAGCTTCTTGTTCCTAGTAGCGATGCGGTCCTAGTAAATATTGGTTTGTCACACGGAGTCTTATGCAGATTGGTGGTTGTCCACTTCTATCTCCTGGTTTCCAGGCGACGTGTTCTTCTCCAAGACCGAGCTGTCACCGGATTTGCAAGCGGCAGCCGGGGTGGCCCAGGTGAAGAGAGATGATTAAATGTTGGAGCGATGTTTGTGCGTTGGTTGTGCATTCAAGATTGTGCCAAAGGCTGAAGCAAAGGTAGCATGCTCAAGGAACCACTTGAGGAAAACTGCTGTCTAGATTCGGATTTGACGACTAACAATTGCAAGTTTCCCTAAAAATCTAGGAACCAAATGAATAGCGTGAGCTATCCTGCCTCCTAGATTAGATAGTAGCTTAAGTAGCTAGGAGCGTGTTTAGTCCCTGACTTAATCAAGTAGGCGCCTACTTAATTAAGTAACGAGGCAGGGCCAAAAACAAAGAAAACGAGGAGGTGAGATTCATTGACGTCAACTCCAGACAGCGCCACGAGGAATCAAATAAAGAGCTCAAGGGGAAACCCGTCCAGTTTGAAATCACCATTGGCAAGGCTGGAGATACAAAAATGTGTTGCAAAAATTGTACAGTGCCAAAAGTTGCATACATTTCTTAGCTGAGCCGAGCAGAGCTTCCAGATTTGTATGTTGTTTTCTTCTTGTATCTGAGATTCTTGAGATTTCGCTTTCTCCCGGCGGGCTTTATGCTGCTTTTGTTCAGGATGGTAGATCTAGAGCTGCAAATGTGACTTGGCACTGCAGAGACTCATCAGATATCCTTGATAGCCTCATATAATCACATTATATAGATATAGGACCACTTACAGTATATAATTAGACTCTTCTCTGTGTTTGTCAGAGCCACCCCCCCATACATAGAATTGCACATCAATTTCGGGATCCCTTGGACCCTTTGATGGACCGCATGGACCGACGCCACGACCACGACGCCTTTCAGGTACAACTTTGCAGCTTAGAATCTTGGATGGAGGGAGTCCCGAGTGCTCGGAGTCCCGTGAGTGCCACGTTCACCTCCTGGTTTTTGGTTTGTTATTCGAGTCGAACTTCCTAAAGATCCCAAGTAATCAGTAGATACATCAGATATGAGGTTCAGCCATGATCATTGTTGCTGAATCCCGTGATCCTTCTCAAAGCATTCTGCTGATGCACCTAGTTGACCACTCTGACGTACCTGCTACAACATGTTCATGGTGATGATGTTCAACAGTTTAACACTCCAACCTCTTTTTACTGCGGCTGTTTCGGGTTCTGCGGCAGGCCACGGTAGGCCCACAGTCACGCATCTTCCGCACGTGAAACGGAGCCGTTTTCACGGTGATGTGTGACCTTTGGACCTGCGAGCCCCGAGCTGCGTGCTCCCTGGTGGGCCTGGGCAGGGCAGGGTAGTGGCTGACGTCACAACACCCGGATTTGGTCACACTAAATCGTACCAGCCCATTTGGACCTTAGTAGTCTACAGCAGGCACCATCAGAGTAGTGGAGAGTGCCCTGCCCAGGTGTATCTTGAGTTTAGGGTCAGGTTTCGCCTTCCTTCTGTGTCTTTGGTTCAGGTGATAAGCTGCGCGCTTTTTCAGGCTTGTCGTGCCTTCTCTTCCTTCCCTCGGGTCTTCCGCCTGTCTTCTCCTTTTCTCCGTCTTTCGTTGTCTCGAAGTTTTAAACATCTAAGACGTTTCCGGGTGACCGGGCTGCGTGCTTGGTTGTCCTCTACTCGGTCACCCGAAGTTCCGGCCTTGAGCTCTCGTCCTGTCTTCTCCGTCTTTTGGTCTCTTTGTGTCTCTTTGGGTCTTCTGTTCTGTTCTTGGTCTCTTTTTCACGAGGAATGAGACCAAGCCGCCCAGGAGTTGGTGGAGCGTGCAGCTGCCAATGCTCCCAAGCCGAAGGGCACCCCTTCGAGTGGGACGGTCAAGTCCTTCAGCGAGCGCCACGCGGTGGACGAAGGGCTGAAAGGGCTGAAAGGGCTGAAGGGATGATAGGATCTTTGAGGTCTCAGGACTCTTTGTGTTGGGGAATCCCAGTTTGGTGAGGAGGGGGCAGTGGCTCAGGTGTATCAAACAATAAATTGATTTGGCATGGTTTGGCAACATGCTCTTCCGGTGATTTGCTTGAGTCAAGGGCATGGCTACGGCTTCGTGGCATTGGAGCAACCTGGCTGCAATCAGGGAGAGAACATGATACTTGAGCAATCTTGAGCACAGTTGCTTTCATCTTCAGCAGAATGACCAGTTGCTTCCATATGCAAACTCCAGGCTCACCGGTCACATGACCAACAGGTGCATCGCTACAAGTAAGCAGCTAGAAGCTACATAGGAACAAGGTGCATCGCTACTAGTAGGGGGAGCCGGCCACAAAAAAAAGACATCTTTTGATTTTCACTAATACAAGAAGCTAGTAGGAACAAGTGCATCGCTACTAGTAACAAGTGCCTTACTCGTAGTAACAAGAAGCTATTAGAATCAAATTAAGATTGGTAGTTTTAATTAGGCTACTAGGACCTTTTCTGGGTTTTTTCTCCTCGAGGAACGATGCGGGGGACGCCCAGTTCCGGGGCTCGGACTTGTCGCCGGAGCTGGCGGCGCTGGGCTCTGCTTTAGCAGGCACATGGGTGGCTCTGGTGGGTTCAGGGGTGGGTGGGTGGGTTTCTCATGATGTCCAACAAGGAAAATGTCTCAAAGACTCAGGCCAGGGAGTAACGCAACCGAAGATGCTTTGCGATGGCCAGCAGCGGACCATCCGAGGGCCTTTTGCGAAACACCTTTGGCGGTTTATTTGAACCCACTCTCTTGCTGCGGCATTTGTTGAAAGTCATCCCGAAGAACAGCTTGGGCCTTGACAAGCTTATTGAACGCTGTCCATCGAGTCGTTCTACACTGATCCAGGGCGCATGGTGAAGTGCCATATACACGAGCTTGCGGACGGAAAGTACAAGGTGCGACAAGTCTTTGAGACCAACACGACTGGTGTGAAGAAAGATTGAACAGTCGTGGTGTTTCGATTTCCCGACTTGATTTAGCAGACTGGACTCTAGACAAGGCAAAAGCTGTTCTGAGGCCACTGAGATCGTGCCAATCCCTGGGCAGGCGCAAAGCACTGCGGATCTTGGGGGATTGGGTCCTGAGAAAGACAGCTGGAGTGATAGAAGACACAGAAACCATCACCAATTCGGGTTGAAAAAAGGCCTGTATTCAACCTGGACCAGTTGTGGGTACTGACATGACATGCCATGGATTTGCTGATGTGCCTGCTCAGAGTAGTTGGAGATGCACCAATCCTCACACCCCATGTCCTTCGCAGGCAGGCAAGGGCAAAAGCAGTGGCAAGGCCTGATCCGTCGGGCTTGGCAGCGGTAAACGTTTTGGGCCACGGTCTTCAGTTGAATCTTTGGGGGATTGTTGCGTGGTTCAGCTCGTTGCGCACTGGAAGAATCGATGCCAGTGGTTCAGCTCCATGCTTTCGAAGCCAGTTCTTGCACTTAGACTGAATGCATACATGAAAGAAATCACCTCTGAATGGTATAATGATGTAATGGTGCTATATCGTACAGCTGGTATTGGACCCAAACATCTAGGTTGGAGGCCATCGCTAGTATGTTGGAGGCCATCGCTATTAGTAGCTCAAAAGAAGATTGTACTTTTTTTGAATTTCACATCAACTCATTCGACCCCACGTGTCAAGTGCAGGGCAAGACGCAAGCTCTGCAGCGTGTCAAAGGGAAGGTGAAGGCCTTCGACCCAGGCGGGTGCTTTTTTGGATTGATCCCGACGGACTGTAGCTACAAATCCATCGTTCATAGATGTTGTCAAAAGCCTGAGATAGCTTTATGCTTGATTTCTTGCCACTGCGTGGGGAACACCGTTTATACTTGTATTCTGCAGCGTTTTTGGTTTGAGCCACACGAACGGCGTTGTCTTGACTCGTTTCCTTCGGACCCCCCGAACCCGTCGTTCGCTGGACCGTCGTTCCCGTCGCCAGATACGCGCATGGGCACGTTGTCCTGCTCCGAGAAGTCGGAGGTGCATTTCTTCGATTTGAAGAACTTACAGCTCGAAGAAGGAGCGGAGGCCAGGGTAGGGAGGTGATTTAGGTGTGGAGAGTGAGGTGATAGATAGATGGAGAGGGGTGCCCCTTCGGACTGGGAGAGGTGGATAGTGGATTGAGGTGTGAGGGGGGTTGTTGTGTTGTCTCGAGATGTATGTCAGTGGGGAAAAACAGGTTCTTGATTAAGATCAATCATGATACACTGAGCGAGACGAACTAGACAGACCTTCAAGCAGTCATTCATTCCCAACCTCTGAAGCTTCTCCAACCGTTTTTTGGCGCGAACCAGGGTCCTAGGTGAGGTGGGACCGCTTTCCATCGCTGACATGGGAGGTTTCCGCCGCGGAATTTTCCGGCTCCCAGCGCTTGGGGTGAAGTTTCTCGGCGCAGTCACTCACGTATGCTCCGCAGTGGACGTCCAAACGACGGCAGTCACCCTCAAATGAATGGCTGGATTCTCAGACAGTCACATTTGGATGCTACAAACCTGGGTTTCTAGGAACCGACAGCCAAGACGGCCACATGTTCTGATCGACACCTAGCCTTGAGCCGTGTGCTTTCAGTGGGCCATGTCAGCAAAGCTTTTCTTCACTGAGAGTGCTTTTGATAAGAGCAAGCAAGAGGAGCTTCAGTTCGAGTACTTGAAGGAATGGATATCAAGCGCACATCAGCGCACGGTTGTAGATACAGAACCACCGGGTTCAGCTTGTCCCTTTCAATCCTTGGCGAAAGCGATCACTCATGCGTATTCATTACCAACAGAGCATCTCACTGAAGAAAGAGTTCGAGCAATCCTGGTCAAGACGTACAAAGACCTGAATGAGACAGACCTGCAGAGAGTGGCGAGTGCCAAGTTAGAGGAGAAGACCTCGTTCTTTTGCATGACCGCCGCGTTCAGGGATGTTCAGGCTGTCCGGGAGTACTGGAATTGGTACCTTTACTGCTTGACTCACCGGACAGCAGAGATATACGATGATGATTGCAATGCTGGTGTAGTTCGAATGCCCTTGGATAACGTCGATCTCCAGGTTTTGGCAAGCTTCTTTTGCACTGGCATAGTTGTTTCAAAGCTGGACTCTTGCGCCCTGAAGTTCCTTCCTGGCTCCGGTCGAGCCCCCAAGGCCGCCATTCATTTGTTGAATCACAAGAGTCTTTGGGCGCCAATGCTGGGAAAGAAGCCCACCACGAACGAACTGCATGGCCAGTGACTCGTGCAGCGCTTCTTTTTTTGGCGCACCTCTTTTCACAGTCTAGTTTTTCCCGACGTCACCGTCGTCGCTGGTGGTTTTTGTCGTCTCTGTTGTTGTTGTTGTTCTTCTTCTTCTTCTTCTTGGGTCTAGAAGGCTAGCGAGACCAAGCATGGGAAGAAATCGCTGCGTAACCTGGTCAGATCTTTTCACCAAGCTGGGTTTGCCAGCACTACGATGTTTGGCCATTGGATCAGGGGTTTGCCCCTTTTTGTATCTTTTTGTCGCGCTGATTTTGTAGCTTCCGCAAAAGTTCCACCTAGAATGCAAGTCTACAATTCTGGTGGCCACCAAAGCTGTCGTGTGCCCAGGCTGGTCCAGTTGCAAGCACTGGAAGGCGGCCCTTTCCATGACTTCACAAACAAAGCAGGGTTGGTGGTTCGGGACCAAAGCCAACAGCTCTTCTACAAGGTGAACGTTGGCCAGCATCACTTGCCAATCGAGCCGCACCAGCTGCATGTCATTCGAGATCAGATCGCCCCGTTGCTCGGCCGGCGTTCGGGGAGGGTCGATGAGACAAGAAGGAGGTCGAAACGTGAGACAGGTAGATTTCCCTTATTCAGATTTTGGGTCCCAGATCTACATGACTATGGCCCCATGGACTTCTCTTCCTGCGGTTGTCTACTTCCCCTTCTACAGGGTGGGTAATGGCCCCCCCCTGGCATGAGACAAGGATCAGTTGGATGCATTTTGGGCACTGACTGCACGAGATTGAAACATCATGTCGCCGATGCCCACAGATCCGCCCATGTCTACAGTTGCAAAAGATACACTGTTCTGCAATTCGGCTGAGGATGTTCGAGCGTTCATCTTCCAGTACCCGTGGCTGGCAACTTGGGTCACCACTAGGCGTCAAGGGCTGTTTCGGTTTCTGAGTTTGAGGGATTGCAGAGATACTCAGCTTTGGGTCAAAAGCGACCATGTCGGCACCGTGCGTTCAGGCCATGCGCCCTCCTTCCGGGGCATCCCGGATGGATCGGTCGAGTTCCAAATCCTGCTGGAGTTGGTGGGTGTCCTTCGGCTGCACCAGTTCAGCATACAAGCAAATGGATTTTTATTGGACATAATGGCGATGGCCTCCAACCTGGAAGCGATGGCCCAATGGCCTCCAAGCGGACCTAAGAGCAATGGTATGGGCCAGTTTCTTGTTTAACGCCGAAACCACTTCTGGCAGTGCCTGGATTCTGGCCGTTGGCCCTAAACCTACTGTGTACTGTAAGTAATATGCTATGTGCAGAGGGAACTGAGGAACTTTGACATTTGTTACCTGTTACCAGGTCGTGCTTGGTGAGAAAGGTAGAATCTATAGATGGAAAATAGCCGAACAAAGAACGGTTCTGTACAAACGAGGGAGGTGCTCATGGTATTGCTGAAGTATTTGTGAAATTAAGGTCTTGAGTCGCCATTCCACCTCGAGTGCCCAGTTCACACAGAGTGTCCGTTCACATAGAGTTCCCAGTTCACATAGAGTGTTTGTTTCACATGGAGCGCTCATTTCACGTGGAGTATTATCCCTTTCACATGGATCGTTTACTTCACATAGGACGATGGTTTTGGTCTTGCATTGAATCCTGTTTTTAGTTCGTAAAGTGCCTTCCTTATTAGATGCCAATGTCCAGAGTTCATCTAATGGGGGGAGGTATTACTCTCGCTTTTTGTATCAAAGCTTTGCTATGGCTGTTAAAAGGGAAATTTAGGTTGCGACCTATCATTTGCTTTGATGATATCCTACACTTGTTTGCATTTTTCAGTGTCCAGTTTCTTCTCGGTCTTCCTACTCTTCGTTGAGCCGGAACTTTTGGGAACAGCAGTGTTGGAGCAAACGGTGACTTGGTGTTGGGGATGATGGGATGCGAGCGATTTCTGCGGATGATATGGCCCAGAAGTTCAATCGTTTCATTTCCAGAATTTCAGACAATGGTTTCATTTACGCAACGGGCCTGGTCGGGGAGTCAATCACTTCATCAACTCTCCTGAAAATCATTCGTGTTGCTTCTATCAATGAAAGTCGTATGGAGCTTTTAGAATTTTGCGTATATAATTCTTGATGGCTTTAAAGAACGCGAGAGGTCATGACCGAGTTGTAGACAAGAAGTCTTTTTGCTACACATAGTTTTATTCCAGAAGATGTCAAGACGTCTCAAAACTAGCATTGTGGAAGTGATACGACGACGAATCTCTTGAGCTGGGTTTCCATCGGATGAAGTCTGCATTCTGTTTCCATTCCTGAAACGTATGTTGCCTCTACTGGAATTGAAAGAGATGTAAGTACACTTATCAGTGCTTAGTTTCAATTATAGATACTTCGACTTTTGTTCGATTAAATGTAGATAGTGGTTGGCTGACCCATGAAGAGGTAAGAGCTTAGGGGGCAGGCCTTGTCGAATCCGTGCGCTGCTTGACTTGTTCCAATCGCTTTCAAAAGCGTTCTGGGTGATCTTGATGTTCTTGATGTTGTCCAACAGAGCTGGGGGTATACGCAATCTTGCAAATGATAGAACACATTTTTCATTGTCAACTTTATGAAAAGCGTTCTCCCAATCCAGGAAGACTAAATATTATATATATATATTATATCCTTGAAAATTTTAATGGGTCATTTCATTTCTTTGTTCTACAAAGTCTGTAAGACGCTGGACGCAATAAAGCGGGTCGGCCGTGGAGCGGCTGGCTTCGAAGCCAAACTGAGTATCACAGATATGTGGATCAAGGACGGTTGAAGAGAGTCTTTCTTGAATAACACGTGTGAAGATTTTGCAGCTGTTATTTAATACGGACATAGGACGGTAATTTTCAGGATTATCTTGAACTCCTTTTTTAAAGCTACAAAAATGCTACGCGGGCTCGCGTGAAGTTATCCGTAACCTTACCCTCTTGCCAGAAAACATCTAAGCAATTTGTGAATACTTGGATGTTGTGGTCATCTAGCCATTTGAATCAAAGAGCTCGCTGATATCAGGGCCGGCGGCTTTGTTGACCTTGATTTTGGAGATAATTACATGTTGTATTTCAGGCACTGAAAGAGGGTTACATTGAATGGAA